GACGAGGGAACGAGGGAGACAAAGAGGACGAAGAGGCCGAGGGGGAAGCAAACCATCGTTCGCCGATTGTGTGATGGACCCAGTCATATATCCTCGGCTGCCGAGTGTGCAACCCATTGCGCGCCCAATGATAGCCAATTATGTATTCGGCGGCCGAGCGCGCAACCTGAGCCAGCTACATCACACGCGGCCGAGGGCGCAACCTATGGCACAACCCATGCTGCTGAGGGCGCACACAACCAAGGCTGGTTATACAATCGGCGACCACGGGTGCAACCTATGGCGCAATCATCGGCGACCGAGGGCGCAATGTGGGCCACGTGTGTGATCGGCGGCCGAGGCGCAGCACATGACATAACCCGCAGAAGCCAATCGGAGCCATTCATATCAGCGGGTGGCGCAGCAAATAGGAGGCCGTCGTAATCTCGACAGCCGAGCGCGCGCCCTAGCGGCGAGCTGGTTTTTGATTACATGGTATTTGTGCAGCTGCGCCTCGCCCAGAGCATCCTGGCGAATCCCGAATCGCCCCGACCGTCTGAGGGAAGCGCGAGCCTGGCGGCGGCGACGGCGACGGCCTCGTCGTCGCCGTCGTCGTCGTCGTCGGCGTCGTCGACGGCGGCTGCGTCGTCGTCGTCGTCGTCGTCGTCGCCCCGCCGACGCCACTGTTACGCGAGCTGCAGCCCGCGCCCGCCGCCCACCGCCGCGCCGCCGCTGCCCGCGCCCGCCGCCGCCATGACGGCGCTGCCGCACGCGATGTTCGTGACGCCGCAGGACGCGGACCCGCTGGTTGGGGCCATGATCCCGCTGGCGGAGCCGCTGATTGCGGCAGGTGGCCAGCACGGGGCCCCGCGGGTGCCTGGCGCGTTCACCTCCGAGGCGAGCGACGTCATGCTCAAGTTCTTTGGCGACGATTCGCCGATAGGCGCGGGGGCGGGAATGATCATAACACGAGCTGCAGCTCACCACCACCGCACGGTGTTCGGGGCATCTTGGACGTGTGTCGGAGGCTATCTCGTGGATGCCGTATTGGGGATGTTTGTGTATATAGAGCGCCCCTTGGGGGGCACCATGGGCTATGTTGGGTGATCTAGCCCCTCGGGCCCGACAGGTTCCTGTTTGCGTATATGCGTGGACAGTGTGAGCATCCAACTGTAGTTCCATGTGCTCACACTGTCAATGCATGCATGTACACACATACGTAAACGTGTGTGTGTGAGGTTTGTGCATCCCGTCCCAGGCTGGGAGGGCTGACACCTCTTCCGGGGCGGCAGCGTCGCAGCGGGCGCCGCGGGCGGCGCCGCAACAGAGGGCGACGCGGGCAACGCCACAGCGGGCGACGCCTCGTCCGGTCTGCGCGCGTGGGCTGCGACGACGCCTGGCGCCAATGGCGCAGTGGTGCCGCCGATGATGGGCTGGCGCACGCCCGCCCTCAATGCCGACCCCAGCCCGACGCTGATGTGCCGCAGCTACGGGTTGCACGAGGTGCTGGAGGCTGCGGCTGGTGGCGGCGGCGGGGGTGGCGGTGGCAACGACGGCCCGTCAGCCCCTCCCGCCGACGGCGGTGCGGCGACGGCGTGCCCTCCCGCCCCTCCCGCCGATGGCGCGCCCACGGCGGACCACGGTGCGCCGACGGTGCCGATGCCGTCGCGCGCACCGACGACGGCGCGGGCGGTGCGCCCGCGGGCCGACGGCGGCGCGGGTGCAGGCGTGGCCCAGGCCCATCGGACGCAATCGCCAATGTTCAAAGGTGCAGATATCACGGCCACCGACCCCCGCCCGCCACCGATATATCATCATCCGTACACGGGTGACGATATCTCGGTGGCGGGTGGGGGAGGGGGCGGGGGCATGTCCCACGCCCCCAATTCACCCTCCCCGTACACATTATGGGGGGTGATGGCAGTGATAGCTGGAGCTGTCGGACACGGGTGTCGTCACCAGGCAGCCATCTCACGCATCCCGCGTCCGCCGATGCGGGGCGGGGCCCCCTTGCCGCCGCCGCCGTCGGCGCGCGCAGCACAGGGCGTCGCCCCCCCCGCGCCCGCCGCCGCCAGCAAGGCACGGCCGCAGCGCGCCCGCCAGGCGCACCGCGGCTCGCGCTCGCGCTCGCGCGGCGGCCGATCGCGCCCGCGCTCGGGCACGCCGCCCCGCGGCCCGACTGCGCGCCGCGGCCCGCCCGTGCGCCCCCCGCAGCGCCGCCCGAGCACCGCGGCCCGCGCGGCGGCTGACACCAGCGCCGCGGCCCCCGCGGCCGACGGGCAGCCGCGCGGCAGCGCGGGCAGGTTCAAGTGGCCGCTCGGCGAGCGGCAGCGGGCAGGCCCCAGCACGGGCAAGTGCGCGGGCAAGGGCCGCTCAGCCAGCGAGGCGCGGGCGTCCGACGACAAGGGCTCGGGCAAGGGCGTCCGCTCGGCGAGCGAGACGACCGCCCGCCGCCGCGAGATGCGCGGAGGGCACCTGGCCGCAGAGCTGGACGCTGCCCGCCCAGTGGGCTTCGGTGGGCGCGCCAGGGCCAACCGCCGCCAGACGCTGGCCGCGCAGCTGGGCGCCCAGGTGGGGCCCACCGCGAACGACCCCGTCGGGCGCCAGGGCAGGCGGGCGGGTCGTTCTAATGTACCGACGCATGCTTGGCACATGTGTTCATCGGCGACAGCCGCGTGGACATATATGCTCACAGCGATGCGAGCGCACGTGTGCGACGAGTGCCGCACAGGGGCGGCTGGTTCCAGCGTTGCCAGGACCTGGCCTACGTTGTGCTGACGCAGGGCCCGTTCTGCCCACTGGCCATGGAGCTCGCGGAGGAGTGGTGCTCCTGGCCGCCTGGGTCTGAGGCGCACTTTGTCTAAACTGATGCGGCTGTATCTGAGTGCGGCAGCATTCAGATACGGACGTACGCAGTGGCTGCAGCCAGTTTGTCACCCCGTGGCTTCAGCCACTCCGCCAATTGGGGGGTGGCTGCAGACGCTCCCCAAGTACGATGCAGGCGATCCCCAACAGCAGGCGATGGCGGCGGGAGTGCAGGCGGGCAGGCCCGCGCACATCACCGAGATGGAGTGGGCGGAGCAGCTCCAGCTCGCGCTCGCCATGCGCGGGATGAACCGCGAGGCGGAGCGGGCCCATGCATGCGCCCAGAGGGCGGCGGCGCGGGCGGCGGGCCTGAGGGCGCCGAAGGGCGCTGCATACTCCTGGGCTCCAGGCCCACATGGCGGCGGCGCGGGCGGCGGCGCGGGCGACGGCGCGGGCGGCGACGTCGCCCCAGGCCGCCACGGCCAGCGCTGGCGCCCAGGCCGCGACGGGCCTGATGGCAGCGGCGCGGGCGGCGGCGGCGTGGGCGGCATGGGTGGTGGCATGGGCGACGGCGCGGGCGTGGTCGCTGGAAGGCCACGGAGGGCGGCGGGGTGGGCGTAGCGGCATGGGGCGCGGCGCCCACGGCGCCGCTCGGCTAGCCCCGAGCCGCTACGCCGCCGCCATGGGCGCCCACGGCGCCCATGACGGCGGCGGCGCCGACGGGGGGCGGCGGCGCCCACGGCGCCCATGACGGCGGCGTAGCGGCTTGGGGTTAGCCGAGCGGCCGCGCGGCTATTCTTTGTGGCGACGTCGCCACACATTAGCGCCGCCACCGCGCACCACCGCCGCCCTACGGGAACGGGAGGGCATCGGGCGGACGGGAGGGCATCGGGTGGACGTCGGAGATGGCATCAGAGAGGGCAGCGTATGGGGGGGGACTGGGAAGACGCGGGATATTCCAAATGACACGCCGACGCCACCGATTACGGGGGCAAGGGCGTAAGAGGTTTTATCGCGATCGCCCGTGCCGCGGGCGGTCGGTTCGCAGCTTGGCGCCGTGCTCGGTGCCCAATGTTCCCCGTGCACCGCGGCGACGCGCGGTGTAACACGCGCGGTGGCGGGCTGCCGACGTCGTCGCCGTCGTCGTCGCCGCCGCGCCGTTGCCGTCGCCGTCAGCGCCGTCAGCGCTGCCGTCGCCGTCGCCGCCGCCGCCGCCGCCGCTGCAACCGTCGCCGTCGCTGCCGCCGCCGCCGTCGACGTCGCCGTCGGCGTTGTCGTGGCCGTTGCCGTCAGCACGGTCGCCGTCACCGCCGTCACCGCCGCTGCAGCCGTCGCCGTCGCCGCCGTCGTCGTCGTCGTTGTCACCGTCGGATGGCGTGTCGGTGGCGGCGGCGGCGTCGCCACCGCTGTCGGTGAAGTCGTATTCGGCGTCGTTGCCGCCGTCGCTGCTGCAATCAGTGTCGTCGTTGGCGGCGCCGCCACCACCGCCGCCGTCGCCGTCGCCGTCGCCGTCGCCGTGGCCGTCGCCGTTGCCGTCGCCGCCGTCGTCGTCGTCGCCGCCGCCGACCGCTGCTGTCGCAGTAGTCGTCGGCCCCGTCGTCACCGTCGCTGACGTTGTCGGTGTCATCGTCGTCGTTGTCGTCGTCGTCGTTGTACTCAGTGATGCGGACCGACGCACCCAGTCGCCGCAAGCGACTGACTGCGTTGGTCCGCATCACCTGCATACAACGTCGACTGCAACGACTATGATGGCGACGCTGCCCCCGAGGGTGACGACGTCGGCTACGGTTGTGATATCGAGGACGGCGACGGCTCCGACACAGCCTCTGACATCGACTGGTGCGACGATGTTGAGGATGGTGGCGGCGACCGATGTTGACAATGGCGACGGCGGCGACGGCTCACCTGACGGCGACATAGCCACCGATGGTGGCGATGGCGACGGCGGCGGCGACCTCCCTCGCCACCCGCGACATAGCCACCGACGGCGCCATAGCCACCGATGTTGGCGACGGCGACGGCGACGGCGGCGGCCGAATCGTTTGATTTGCAGTGCTTGGGCCTGGAGCTGCAGCTCTGGGCCCGACTTCGTTGCCCCCCCGACTCACTGCTCGTACTGTTGCACTGCCCTCGCCCCGCCATGATGATGTAGCCACGTCGGCCCGTGGGCGCGCCCCACCGCCGCGCGCGCCCCCTGCGGGCGCGCCCCGTGGGCGATGCCCTCGGCCTGGCCGCCGCCCGCGCCGCCCTCGCCGCCTCGCCCTGGCAGCCTGGCGGCGCGCGTTCCCGACGCGGACGCCCGCGGCCTCGGGGCAGACGACGCCCTCGCAGCCTCGCTGCAGGGGCGGCAGGCGGGCCGCGAGCGCGTGGGATCGGCGGTGCAGCCACCCGACGCCGGCGCTGCATCATCGGACGTCATCGCCGTCGGCGCTGCAGCATCGGCCGTCGACCCGACGCCGACGCCGCCATCCGACGTCGACGATGCATCGTCGGCGAGCCAGCCGCACTCGGCGGGCGGCGGACCGCCTCGCGGTCGCGGCGTCGCAGCGTCGGACTGCTCGCGGTCGCCGTCGTCGCCGCCGCCAGCGTCGCGCTGGCCAGGCGTGCCGCCGACGGGGGCGCCGCGGTCGGACTTGCCGACGCCGTCGCGGGCGGCTCACGCGCGGGCGCCGCCGAGCCCGTGCTCACCGCCCGCGGCCGAGCCCCTGGGGCGCGCGGCGGCGCGCCGGGGCTCCTCCGCGGAGGAGGCGGAGCGGCGGAGAGAGGAGGCGGCGCGGCGGCCGAGCGGCTACCACGGCGCGCCCGCGCCGCTGGATGGCCGCAACCCGCTCGAGGTCGGCGGCGACGTCCCGTGCGAGGAGGTGCGGGACAAGGACGGCCCGACGCTTCGAGCCGAAGGCGATGCGAGCTCGGCTGCGAGCAGCGGCTCTGAGGGCTCGCCGTCGCGCCTGGCCCGTGGCTCTGCGGGCTCGTCTGCGAGCCGAAGGCGGGCCAGTGGCTCTGAGGGCCCGCCGCCAAGCCGCTGGCGCCGCTCCGCTGGCGCTGAGGGCGCCGCGACGCCAGCGGCGGCCGCGCCCCCCGCGGCAGCGCCCGTCGGCGCCGCGGCGGCAGCAGCGGCCGCGCGCCCCGCGGCAGCACCCGTCGGCGCCGCGGCGGCAGCAGCGGCCGCGCCCCCCGCGGCAGCACCCGTCGGCGCCGCGGCGGCAGCAGCGGCCGCGCGCCCCGCGGCAGCACCCGTCGGCGCCGCGGCGGCAGCAGCGGCCGCGCCCCCCGCGGCAGCACCCGTCGGCGCCGCGGCGGCGGCGGGCGGCGCATCGCCGAGCTCTGGCGGCACCGACGGATCGCCGAGCTCGGACGGCCCCGACGGCGACCCCCCAACGGCGGTCGGCGGCGCGCCGCCGCCCAAGGCGCCGCCGCTGCTGGCCCCGCCGTGGTTGCAGGCCATGGCGCGGCATGGGATCGCCCGCGCGGTCCCCGACGGCCAGATGGCGGCCGACCGCTGCGCGCGCTCGCTGGCGAAGTCGCTGGCGGTCGACGCGGGGATGGCGCGCCCTCCCGCGGTGGTCTCCGACCGCGAGATCGCCGCGGTCGCGAGGCAGGTCGCCGAGGAGTGGGTGGATGCGGCCGCCTTTGACGCCGATCGGGCCGAGGAGATCGCGAGGTTCGCCGCGGCCGAGCGGGCCCGCCGTCTCACGCTTGAGACGGCGGCGCTGGCCTAGCGGCGGCGGGCGGCTGCCGACGCTGCCGTCGCGCCTGCGCAGCAGGCCGCGGCGGCCGACGCGGAGGCGCGCTTCGCCGACGTGCAGCGCGGCGCGGTGACGGCGGGCTCGATGGTGGAGCTCGAGGGCCACGTCGGGACGGCCGTGGTCGCGGCGATCGACGCCGCGATCGACGCCGCGGTCGAGGCGCGCCAGGTGGGCGGCCCTGGCGCGTTCTTCGACGTGGAGTCGATCCGCGCGGGCGCCGAGGCGCGCCTGCGCGCCGCGAGCCTGCTGGCGGCGCGCCCGCCGCCGCCCGCGCACTCGCCGCGGGCCGAGTGGGCAGCGCGCGGGTTGACCGCCGACGCGCCCGCCCCGCCGCCGCCCGCGGCCCCCGCCGCGCCCCCCGCCGCCGCCACCGAGGTGCTGGAGGCGGAGATCGATCTCCTCCAGCGGCGGCTGCGCACGCGGGAGGACGAGCTCGCCGCGGCGCGGGCGGTGCTGCGCGCGACGCGCGAGGCGGCCTTGGGCGAGGCATCGGCGGCGGAGCGGCAGCTGCATGATATGCGGCTGCTGCTCGGCGGCCATGAGCGCGCCGCGCGCGATGCGCGGGAGGCCCTGCACAGGTCGCAGCAGATGCTCGGCCGCATGGGCAGGGCCATGCAGCACTGGGCGCGCCAGGCCGTTGCGATGGCCGCCGAGGGCTCGTGAGTGCCAGATCTTCACTCACCCAGCCCCCCTCGTCCGCTGTAGCGGGTGCGTCGACGACGGGCGGACGACGACGGACGACGACGACGGGCGAGTCGACGGCGGACGGCGACGGCGGACGAGATTGGGCATGCTGAGTCGACGACGGGCGACAACGGACGACGACGGACAACAACGGTGACGGCGGCGACGGCGACGACGACGAAGACGACGACGGCGGCGTGTCGTTTGTGTGGCAGCGGTGGGGCCTCGCGGTCGCGGCCGCGGTGCGGTCCCGCGGTGAGGGCCCGCGGCGCGCGGCCCCTCCCCGACGCCGTGCGTGCTCGGTGGAGGTGCGCCGTTCGGTGGAGGCGCGACCTCCGCCAACTCGTTCGGCTTTCGCCATTGGAAACGGCATCTCCTCTCTCCGCCATCGTCACCCCCCCCGAATGTGTTCCTCGTGGGTAACTGACTGGCTGAACGACTGACTGGTCGCACTCGTCACGCGCCAATTCTATGCTCGGCGGGCGAGGGCGCGGTATATCCCCCCTCCATCTGGTTCCCACCTCCTCTCCGTCGACCATTCCCTCCTCATTCAAGTCCGCCACATTCCTTGTCCGTCGTCGTCGTCGCCAGCATCGCCTTCATCATCGCCGCCCCGACTGCCATCCTCACCATCACCATCATCACCATCGTCATCATCATCATCATCATCATCATCATCATCACCACCCCGCGATGGGCGGGCTGGGCCCTCAGAGAAAGGACCGCACGACGTCGTGCAGCGTCGGCGCGGCGCCCCCCAGCCACCGCGCCATCGCGGCCGCGACGGCGAGGCGCCCCATCGCCGCCGCGACGCGGAGGCGCGCCGCCTCGCGCGCGGCATCCTCCATCGGCATCGCCGCTGGAGGTGCTGGGGGTACCGACAGGCTTCTCCCCAGCCTTCTCCCCTGCTGAATGTTGTCCCATTCGTCGACGGCCCAGATCGCCGGCCTGCCTGGCCGAGGAATGGGCATGCCGGGCGACCTGCCGTCGTCCTCCTCCATCTGCTCGGGCAAGTCCAAGAGGACCCCAGGCAGAGGGCCCGAGAGTAGGATGGCCCATGGGCCATCAGGGCCACCACACACGCTGTCCTCGGACGCCGTGCCCGAGCTCACTGTCCGAGCCGCGTCCAGCCGCGGCGACGATGGTACCACCCGCGGGGGCAGACGTGACCCTGGCGGTGATGCCCATGGAAGACGCGCGCCCGAGCCGAAACCGCGGCGCGCGGGCGCGCGATGCAGCGGCACCATCGGCATCATCAGCCACCGTCGCCATCATCATCATCATCACCATCATCATCATCATTATCACCACCGACGTCGTCATCATCATTATCATCATCGCAATCACCACGTCATGCTTCCTCAACCTCCTTCGGCGCACGCGGGGCGGCAGAACGCTGGGGCGGGTGGATATGATAGGGATGTGGAATGGTGTCGTGAGAATTATGCTGAACATGGTGCTGGTGTTAGAACGGTGAGTTCACGCATTATAACCACTTATGCGAACCATGAGCCTGTTGGGGCCTCCTGAGACCTCCTGGAGCCGCCCGAGGGCTCCTGCATGTTACTGGGGCCTCATCGGGCTTCCATGGGGCCTCCTGGGGCTTCCTGGTAGGATGGCCTCATACGGGTTTCCTGTGGGCTATTTTCGGGTCTCCTGAAGCCCCATGCGGCCCCCCTGGGGCTTCTTGGCACCTCACGTGCCCCCCTGCAGGGGCCTCCTGAGGCCTCCTGAAGCAGCGCTGCATCCCACGCATCATCCTCGCCATGATGATGGCGCGCCCCACCTCGTAGGGCTGCAGCCCGCCAGTCGCCGCTAGCGATATCGGCGCGAGCACCCGCCTTGCCCGCGTCGGCCTGTGCTCGCCGTGCCAACGTCGGCCCGCGACGCATGCCGACGCCACGTAAGCGGCCCGCGGCCGCGCGCGCGTTGGATACAACGCCGACGCCGCCAAAGCGGCCCGCAACTTCAGTGGCGGCGTCGTCACTGGATGTCGGCGCATCCAGCGGCGCCTGGGTCCGCACCATCCTGTCGCCGATCAGCTACGACGCGCTGGTGGGGATAACAAGCTACGACGACGGCCGCGTGCTGTTGGCCCTGCAACAGATCAACGGCTGGTACGCGACCTTCGTCGACAGGTCGAGTGCCCAATGGCTTCTGATCACGCAGACGCGGGCCCTCGACGCACTTGGCGCCAAGAAGGGCGAGTTCGAGGACAAGCACCCGATCTTCCCGATGCAGGTCAGGGCGCTGTCCGACAACGGCCAGGTCGACGGTGCCCAGGTGAATGCCGCCCAGACGACAAAGTTCCTAGGCGTCTGCACTGGTGCGGTCTTAGAGCGGCTCGGCGCGTAGTGTGTCGACGCGCTCTTGAACTCCCCTGCGCGGGAGCATCGGTTATCCGCGTGATGAACACATTGGTCGCGCCACGTGTAGTTTCGGAGCTGCAGCTCCGCTTTGGGCTCCCGAGCTGTAGCTCGGATGTTATTCACGGGGCTGCAGACCCGCCCCAAGTCCCCATGAGCCTCATATCCGCTCAATCTCCACATCGTCGTCGTCGGCGTCGCCCTCCTCGCCCTCGTCGGCGCCCCCCCTATCGGCCACTGCTCAGCCCGACCCGCCCTCCCTTCAGCGCGGGCGCGGGCTGAAGCCCACACCCGCGTGCGCACTGCCAACAGCTGCAGTTCCTGCTCTCTTCAGATGGCGCAGGCTATGCCGCTGCCGCGTCGGCTCCATCTCGAGCGCTGTCACACCGCCCCCCTCCAGTTCGGCTGCAGCTCGAACTCAAGCTCGCGTGGCCGCAATGGAGATCGCCCGCCGCATCGAATCCATGGATCGCTTCATGATTAGCTCCCAGTCGCGTGCCATCTCCCACGCCGCGAGCGCTGAGAACAGTTGGGCCATGGCGATGTCCATCATAGCGTCGGCCCGCTCGGCCAAGCTGGCGGTGGACGACGCGTCGCTGATCAACGAGAAAGTACAAGCGTGCATATCTAACGGGCTGCAGCCACCCAACGCGCACGTGCATCCGGCAAGGCGGGATTGAGCGTGGGCGGGGGCCGGGGTGGGATGGGGGGCGCGGGATAGCATTGGCGGCGCGGGGTGCTGCAGCATCGAGCCTGCCCCGCCGAATGCACATCCTGGTGGTAGCGGCGGGTTCTCTGACGACTTGAAGGCAGAGATCGCTGCTGCAGTCAACCAGCGGGTGCTCGGTGGCATGGGCAGCGGCGACGTGGAGATTGGCCGCCGCCAGGACTTGTGCTTGTCATCGTGGTGTGTGTTGTTGTGATTGATTTTTTGTTTTGCATCGGATGGCGGTGGTGATGTTGCTGATGGTTGTGCTTATGTTGCTGGTGGCGCCGCCGTTGTAATTGCTCTGGGTTGCGTCGATGATGGCGCTCTCGCGCGCGTGGGGGGAGGCGGGCGGGGTTCGGTCGACAGGACATGGACAACCCGAACTACTTCCTCACGCGCGGCGATTGGGATCAGCTGAACCCGACGAGCAGCATGGAGACGAAGGTGGGCGTCATCGCCGAGCGCCTTCAGGCGCCCGTGTCGTGGAACCACGTGACGCCGCTAGGTTGTCCACGCATGAGCTGCAGCTCCATGCCCGTTGCGTTGCGCGGGGAAGCGCCCCGCCGAATCGGAGCTGTAGCTCCAATTTCTGTCGTTGCACAGGCGCTCGGGCTGGTTGTCCCGTCGGACAACGCCTTGTGCCCCGTCTGCGCCGTTGTGGGCATGCTGATGGGCTATGACAATCCTGTCCAGTTCTGGTCCGTGGTCAAGGAGGCCCGCGCGGCGTGGTCAGCGCAAGGGAGCCGCCGTCGCGCGCTCCCAGCAGGTATACATGGAGGCTTCGCCCTGCCCGTCTGCCCACGTAGCGCGCTGCAGCGCGCTGCAGCGCGCTCGTGACGAGCGCCATGCCACAACCATCGGCCACTCCGACGGGATGGTGGGCTGGGCGCAAGGCGGCGTTGAGGGGATGGTGCGAGGGGGCTGTGGGCTGGAAGCGGCGCGCAATATCATACATTACGCCGTGCCCCACCGTGCAACGGCGCGCGGGCGAGGATCGTGTGCGCGCCCAAGTACATAACCCCAAATGACCTCGCACCACCTGTGCATACCGCCGCGTACACTGAGGACGACCCGCCCGTGCAGAACAGCATCGTGGGTCTGGCGTTCATGTGAAGCAAAATGCCCATGCGCAGCACGCGCAGCTCCTTGCCCACCTCGCGCGCCAGTCAGTCGAAGGGCAACGGGATTGGTCAGGCACCCCTCAAACACAATGCAAACACGCAAGCGACGCTACACCAAACACATTACAGCCATAACATAACATACCATGAAAGCATCAGGCAGTCGCGCGGCTCCTCGCCAACTACGGCGGGTGCCCGCCCAGCGAGGGGGGGATCCTCGCAATCGAGGGCGGCAGCGCGGCGGGCCAAGCAGCCGCTGCGCCCCCGCTGAGCAAGCCGAAGTGGGGCGGCGCATTGGCGAAGGCCGCGGCCGCAGTCGGGGCTGGCAGCGCCGCCGCGCGCCCGATCCCGCTGCCGCCAACTACCGAAGCTGGCGAATAGGCGGGAGCGGGCCAGGGCGACGCAGACGGTGGCGACGCTGGCGGCGGCGGCGACGGCGAAGACGCCGCCGCAGACGCCGCGGTGGCGGCAATGGCTGCCGCGGCCAAGGGCACGAATGGCAAGGTCAAGGCCAAGGGCAAAGCCAGCGCCAAGGGCGAGGCAAGGGCGCTGAAGCGCCCCGCCGCGGCGCCCTCTTCGGTGAACAAGAGGCCCGCCATGGCGACGGCGGCTTCGGTGAAAAAGAAGCCCGCCGCTGCCTCGGCGAAGGGGGGCGCCGCGCCGAAGATGGTGAAGGCAAAGGGCGGGTGGTGGACCCAAACCAACATCCGCGGCGATGGCAGCGGAAACCACGGACACTCCTACACCATGTGGGTGGAGCCGTCGGGCAAGCGCCACCGCACG